GATCTGCCCTGGGAAGACTGGAGAGATGCTAAAGGTGTGAGGAACTCCAGATTTTACCTGAGTTTCCCTGTCTGGACAGGTCCCTCGGGAGGGGGGTCCCCTAAGAGAAGCAGCCCAGGCCCCACAACTCTCCTTTCTGCTCCCACATGCGTGTGTCTCCATCTCAGGTACTGCTGACTCTAATCCCTGCAGCTCCCTCTTCCTCCTCCCCTTCCCGCTCTCCTCTTCAACCCCATTCTCCTACGCTCCAGGCACTCGCCAGCCTCTCATCTGTTCCTCCAGTTATCCAGACTCCTTCCCATCTTTGGACTTTTGTACTAGCTGTTTCCTCTGTCTGTGTGGAAACTTCTTTCCCATGTTCACGTGCTAACCCTCCTCTTGCTCCAGGTTTCAGCCCAAATAGGGTCTTCCCTAAGGCTGGCAGGAAGGCACTCCCTGTCATTGGCATCCCGCTCTGCTTTCATGTATTATAACTGCGGCTTTCTTATTCATTCATTTACCATCTGCCTCTCCCTGATGGTTTAACAGTTTACAGGACCTTTCATGGCCAAAGCCTGACTTCCCAAGGATTCCACCATTCAGCCCTGGAGCCAGTGTAGACGGTCGATGCACCCACTTTGAGTCCCCAGCCCTCACACAAGCTGGCCTTTCCACCTGTAAGTCTGCTCCTTACCCCACCTCCCATTTCACCCCTTCTCCTGGCTAAGCCAGACATAGAGATATTCCCTGGACCCCTAAATCTAGTTCACTCTCCTTTCCCTAAGTCAACCCTTCAGAGTGCTCCATTAACCGTAACTCAGGTAGGAGGTTTCGAGCAGGGAGAACAGAGAGGAGTCCGCCTTGTTCACTGTGGTGCCCCCACAGTGACCCCATGTGTGGCAGCTGAATGGACACCCCTGCCACTTTCTTTCTGCAAAGTGTGAAGCGTGCAAGTGTGAGGCATTGACAGCACTGTGAGAACGCAGGTGCCAGAGCTGGCGGGCTGTCACCCACTGTTTCCAGGGAGACAGCTCCCGTCATGAATTTGCTGAACTAAATTGAGAGCTGGGGCCAGGGAGACCTGGAAGTAAACAGAGTCCTGTGCTGCAGGCTAGAAGCATCTGGGTCTCTAGCTGGGCCAAGAGGAGTTGAGCATTCCAGGGAGAGGGAACACAGGGCCGAGGAGCAAAGCTGTGAGCAGGGAGCTGCAGGGGCAGCTATAATTCATTCTCCAGGGCTGCACAGAAATGCGGCGGGATGAACAAGAAATGAGGCCAAACCGCAACCGGCTTCCAAGCCTCATTAGGGCAACAGGTGAGCATGACCCTCCGAGTAATGGAAATCATTAGAGTCTAGAGAAAGGTGTGAGATGGTGGGTCTGATGTAAGCCAGAGAATCACAGCAGCTGCAGGATGAGCTCTGGGAAGGGGCGCTCTGTCTGTCCTCCCAGACTCAAGCTGAGTCCCAGCTCCCGAGCCCCCCAACTCCTGGTGGCCCCACAAGGTACTTCCAGGTCTAGCTCTTCGTGAACTCCTGCAGGGGTACAGGATGCAAGGACTGCAATGGAAACCTTCCTCTTTAACCTCATAGTGGGCTGAATAGTGACCCCAGCCCCCGAAAGATATAACCACATCTATATCCCGGGAGCATGTGAGTATGAACTTCTGCTGAAGAAAAACCTTTGCAGATGTACTTAAGAGTTTTGAGACGAAATCATCTGACCACCTGGCTGGACCTTTGATATATGTCTTTAGCGGATACAGAAGAAAAGACAGAAGAGGTGGCTGGCTGTGACCACAGAATATGACGTTGCCGCCTAGGAAGCCAAGCAGTGCCGAGTGCTACACTCACCAGCAGCTGGAGAAGCCAGAGGAGACTTCCCCAGCCTCCAGAGGGCAGACGCCCTTGCTGACACCTTGGTTTCAGAATTCTGCCTGCCAGAGTGTGAGAAGACACGTGGGTTACTGTCACCTAGTTTGTGGTAGTTTATTACTGCAGCCCAAGGAAACACATCGCTATAGTGTTCAGAAGATTCCACCTCAGGGCCCCTCATAGTGGACCCTGATAGACCAGAAATCTTCCTTTCTGTTTGGAAAGTGGTAGTGACAGAGGCAAGGGGCTGGACCAGAATCGCAGTGGCCTTTCTTCTCTGTACGGTTTGGCACGGAAAGGACCTCTTTGCCCACACTGAGGACATTGAGGGAGTCTATCACCAGCATGAAGCAGTGGCCCAATGAGCAGAGCTGGCCCCCATCCAAAGACTGTGAACGAATGCCAGTGCTGGCCAGCGCCCCCACATGCAGCCTCTGAGGGTTTGGGAAGAGCGGGCAGGACAGCAAGTTGCTCCCAGGTGAGGCACAAAGAGGCAAGGAAGCTTGCTCTCAAAATAGGCTTCCTAGCTCAGGCCTCCACAGGTGCCCCACACTGTGGGCCTCAGCCTGCTCTACTGGGTGGGCTTCCTGGGGCTGAGGCAGTTGAGGATCCGCCTCTGGGGAGCCCCTAGAGCACCCATTGCCTGCTGACTTTGCTCTACAGGGTCCCCACTTGGACGTCTCCCAGGACACAATGGCTGTGCTTCCTGGCTGGGAGAAGCATCAGTACACCACCTTCTGATCCATGACTCTGCCGGGTTCTTGCCCTGGAAGCCCTGGAGACAGTCGGGCTTCTCTGTGAGAGGCGGCGCCTTTGGAGGGCTGTCGGCACTGTAATGAGCATCCGGTCAGCAGCTTCCTCTCCAGAGGCGAAGTCTCACCTGCCTCAGCCCCAGGAAGCCCACCGGCAGAGCAGGCTGAGGCCCACAGCTGTGGGGCACCTGTGGAGGCCTGAGCTAGGAACCCTATTTTGAGAACATGCTTCCTTGCCTCTTCTGTGCCTCACCGGGGAGCAACTCGCTGTCCTGCCCGCTCTTCCCAAACCCTCTGGGGCTGCGTGTGGGGGCCTCCAGCCAGCATTCGGCATACTGTCACCACCCAGTAACCAGCCTGGTTTCTGGGTCACAACACTGTCCAGTAAGAACTAACCAGGTCAAGTCTCTGGTCCTTGTGAGTTTTCAGACGATCATTTTCAGCTGATCATTTTCACGGCCCCCTTGTCTGCGGGAGACATGTTCCAAGTGGAATCCATTCCAGTGGATGCCCAAACCACGGATAGTGTGGACCCCCATGGATACTGCTTCTTCCTAAACATACACACCTCTGATAAAGTTTAATTTATAAGTTAGGTGCACGAGATTAACAATAAATAATAAAATAGAATAGTGAGACGGATATAATAAATAAAACTTGTGGGAATGTGGTTTCTCTCTCTCTCTCTCAAAATGTCTTACTGTACATAGTATTTTCATACCCACGGTTGACCATCAGTAACTGAAACCACGGAAGGAAACCACGAATAATGGAGGACTGCAGACTCACCCAGCTGGCGAGCACAGCCAGGGGCCCGGCTTAATCTCAAGAGAAGGAAAAGGGCCAAAGGGGAAAAGCACAGACTGAAAGTCATACTGTGTGTGGGAGCGTGAGGTGTCCACTCTAAACCCAGGATCACCAGAAACCAAAATTTCACACCCTTCCCTCCACTCAGAGGCCTGATGTGCCAATTGAGTTCATTTTTGGCTAAGATGGAACCATATCGCCTTCCTTAGGGTCCCATCTTTCCCCCAGCTCTCCCTCTCCTAAACACTGATTTCTCTTTATGAGTAACTTTCGGATGGCCTGTACTCTACCGACCAAGCATAACAGCACACATGACTTGGCACCAATCCTCCTCAGAGGGCCTTCTGCTAGCAGAAGACTGCTCACAAAGCCTCTGAAGCAAGAGCGATTTGCAGAGAAATATGGTAAATCAGGATAGCAGACTAGTTGCCATGAGGCCTGCTCTTGTCGAAGAGGAACGTGATGGTATCCTCCTCAAATGGAAGAAGGTCCCAGAACACATGGCAGCACACCACGCTGTGCCTGGTCACAAGTAGGAGGAGCATAAGCTGCAGTAATGGGGACCACAGCCCTCGTTAAAATGATTAAAGCTGGCTCTCCCTGGTGGTGCAGTGGGTTAAAGCACCGCATTATGAAGCTAAAGCCACTTCAGCATGAGTTCAATCCCTGCCTGGGAGGTGACCACATGGCACAGCAGACCTCTCCTGACCTGCCCACAGCTCCCCTTAGCAGTGTACTTGTCAGTTGGCCTGTTCTGCTCCCCACTCTGTCTCTGATGAATTCTTCACCGCCCCTGCACCTCTGGCATGTACCCCAGTTCTGTATGCATACATAAAAAAATATTTAAATACATATATATGTGTATGTATATATACACACACACACACACACATATATATATATATATATACATATACTTTCCAGTGAATGAGGGAAACAGAGGATACCCCAATGATTTAGAAAGTGCACTCCCCACTCCATCCAGAAAAGCAGCAGCAGCAGGTGTTCTATAGCTTGGCTATCACAGAGGGGCAGGTCACTGGCTTTAGTTGAATGGAGAAAGCAATTTCTGAACCCTCCATCTTCTTGGAACTAAGAAAGTGGGCTAGAGAATGGTGGGAGTGATGGAGGGCGGGGGACAGGGAATGCCAGACTGAGCTATATAGTAATGAGAGCATTCCTTCCAAATGCACTTCTCTTCGAAGCATGGCTTTCTACATAATAATAAGCAAGGGCTTCTGACTTTTCAGTTCATTGGTGTAGCCTCCACCTCCTCCCTCAGGCTCTCCTACTCCATGAGACACTCCAGGTCACTGCTGGCATGTTTGAAAGGTGCTCATCTTACAGTCAGATGCTGTTAACCTGTAGCCAGCCTGGATACAGCCCAGACTCCCCAGGGACCTTGCAGCCTGGGATCAAAGGCTGGGACCAGATTATGCAACTGGTGGGGGATGGGCAGTAGAGCATGCAGGTACCAGAGAGTCAGGACGAAGGCCATACAAGGGCTGCCTGGGAGGTGCCACCTGCCCTGCAGACCAGATGCCCACCCCTCTCCCCCCACCCCCACCCAGCAGCCCTCTTGGTTCAGGATGGGTGTGAAGACCCTGGCCTCAGCAGCTCCCAAGAAAGAGGCCCCAACATAGGAGAAACAGCGATGGGTCAGAGCCGGTAGTCCCGGAACACAAACACCAATATATTTTATGTGCACGATGTGAAAAGGAAGAGACAAAGAGATCAAACGGAGACAAAGCAGGCAATGGGCGCACAAATCAGTCGCGTGTCCTTCTGAAAAGCTGCCGCCATGGGAGACAGTCCCTCCCACTTGAAAGGCCTTTTGACAGAGCTGGGACCTGCAGCTCCTCCAGGTCTGGGGTGGCCTGGGGGGGTGAAGGGTACCCGCCCTGCTGTATTGGAGCCAGGTTTCTCTCCTTTCTGCACCCCCTGCACTGATGTCTGCACAGCCCAGAGCGTCCTAAATACAGGTTCTTGTGAACTGACTCACTCAGTGCTGTCTCCCCAGGAAACCCATGCAGAGTGAGGGACCAAGACAAAAGGACTTCACGGGCACTCCCTAGGTATTATTGCTGTAAATAAGCATAGGCCATTAGGACTCACTGGCATCGGAAGGGACGGGCACAAGGGATGACTAGCAGACTCAGAAGCGGTTCAACCATGCAGGGCAGCACATGGCGATCTCTAACTCAGAAAGGAGACCAGTTCAGCAAGAAAGGCCCACCGAGACCAGGTGGTCATAAACAGGGAACAGACTCTCCCTGCAGCACTCCCAGGGCTCGGCAGGGCTGGGTTCCTCCAAACATTAAGTGTTGGGCACTAAGGGATCAGGGCCCTGAAGATACCTCCAAAAGCAGGATTGAAGTTTGGGCTACCCCTAGAAAGCTGTGAGCCTACAGCAGGTCATTGCCTCCCCTAGCTGGGGCTCTGTGCCTATGAGGGGCAATAGGAGCTCTGAGATACCTGGGCAGAGCAGAAACACGAATATTCGGAACCGGCCAGGTGCACATTTTCTCTGGGGCCTCCTAGACTTGGGAGTTTATTGGGTCCAGAGAAAAGGTGATGCCAAGGCATGCCCACAGGGCAGCCTCCAGGCATCAGGCTGCAACTTGGTGGGCCGGGCAGGCCAGACTCTGGCTGAGAATTAGCGGGGTCTTCTGCTGGAGACTTCAACAAGCTGACCACCAGATTCAGCCATGGAAGGGGACAGCAAAAGTGGGGGTGTGATCTAGGGCCCGATGGGGAGCCTGGAAGGTGCGGCTGTCCAGGAGACTGAGAGAACATGAATTGGAGGAAAGAACAAGGAACAATTAATTACCTGGAGAGAAGAGGGAAGCCAGGCAATATTCTCCCCCTGGACTCTTCCACCCATAGATGGAAAGCCGTCTACCTCCACTGGAAACCTGAATTTTGGGAAGCCCCAAAACCCTAGAATTCGGGCCACAATAAAATCAATGGCTGGGCTGGCCTCGGGAGAACGCAGTTCGACCCTGGATTTGGAGGACCCTGCTCAGGACTCAGGTGGAAAAAGCCTTTCATCCTGTCCTGGACAGACACAGGAAACAACCCTGCTGTGCTCCATCCCTGCCCGCCCCCAGACCAGCCATAGTCTGTGCCCTGCTTGGTGCTGTCTGCACAGTCTCGATGGAACAGCACAGCAAGAAAGAGGAGATTCTCTCCCCAAGTGGTGTTATCACCTTTGAGTGATCTATGAAAAGGAGTGGCTAATTGCTACCTATGAGCCCTAGTGTGGTCAAGAAGGGGGTAGGCGGTGTTCCGATGGACTCCTCCCTGAAGGGAGTGAGGGCAGAGTCAGGAGCAGGCTGGAGTGAGGATTTCACCTGTCCACTGCCAGCAATGGACCTATCACAGGGGAAAGGGGACAACCAGGATAACAGTGCCCATGGGCACGGCAGAGTTAATACTGTTTAAGGTGCAAGTTCAAAGGTCAGTCTTGCTGGGAAGGATGGGGGAGGGGCGACCCTGAGGAGGTTTTGCTGCAAGGCTGGAGTGATGGCAGAACCAGAACTGGCCGCTTCCCACTAAGGATGCTCCAGTGACCTTCCCAAAACTGAAGGCCTCATCTTTCTCTCTCTCACTCATTCTCCACGGTTCTCCAACACCGGATAGTGCTCTTCCATCCCCCCAGAAAGCCACTCTGCCCCTGGCTGGCTTGAAAATAAACCAGGCAGATGCTTTACACCCGCCCACACCCCTCAGAACCCACTTGTCTCTAGGTCTCCATTGTGAATCTGTGGGGCCCGCTTCAGCCTGACTGCACTGGGGGGTATCACTCATTTGGGGGGGATCTCTGTGGGGAGAGTGTGGAGAGGAGCACCAGGGCACTGCCACACCCCCACAGGGAGGTGAATCTGCAGAACTTCCCAGGCATCAGGCCAGCAAACTGGCAGGAAAGCTGCAGGGAGAGGCAGGGTCTGCCTCAGGGTTCTATCTCTGGCAACTGCTATGTTGGCTAGGGAGTTGGGGGTGAGGGCCCGGGGTGGGGGGTGAGGGGGGGGCGGTGATTGACATGGATAAAGGGGCTGCTAGTGGTAAAGGCCTTGAAAATAAGAGAGAAAAAAGGGGAACACCACTGAACACATAGAGATTGAAACCTCCAAAAGCCCAAGGTTGGTGGGAATCCAGCACCAGGGGGCCCCCAGAAGGCCAAGGGAGCAGCGAGGGGCCCTGGGGGAGGGGAGCGGAGCCAAGGGAAGGCCTCCAGCCCTTGCAGACCACACTGCAGCCAAGCAGCTCCCCCCAATGCCCGGTCTCTCCTTAGGCTGCTGCTCAGCAGGCCCCTGGGGAGGTATTGGTTGCAAGCAAGCACCTGAATATTGCCTAATGGAGCCAGCCAAAGCCCAAATAAACCAGGTAAGAGGGAAGGAGGCGGCCGCCGCAGCAGCCCAAAACCTCCTCAAGGACTTGCCTCCCACCTTCTGCCCCATGCTCAGGTCTCCTGGCCAGGACAGGGCCTGCTGCTTCCAAAGTCACCCAGTAGTCCAGTCGCTGCTTAGCCGCTGGCCTGGCGCCACCGGCCTCTCAGCTGGGTAGAGACCCGTGGCCCTTCCCTAAGTCCCTCCGCTGCCTCACGCGCCCTGCCCCCAGACCTGACCACAGCCCCATGCCCACCCACTGCCGGGGTAGGGCGGCTGCGTGTGGCCTACAGGACTGAGGCCCGGCCGGGGCAGGTTTTGTGCTGTACAGAAGGGGGAACTCCACCAGCTTGGTACCTCTGTCCACAGGGTCCGTGAGAGAACCCTGGGCCCCACCCACAGGCCCCCCCACCCACCCCGGGTCAGTCAGTCTTGACGTGGCCGTTGGCCAGCGCCAGGGGCCCGCCGGGCTCCTCTGGCTCCGCGTCCTTGTCAAAGCGGAGGCGGAGGGTGTTGCGGATGATGAACTGCTCCATGATGAGCGCCCCGCAGAACCAGGGCACTGCGTACTCCAGGGTGATGAGCCCCATGAAGTCGAAGTCGAACTGGGAGTAGTCCCAGGGGCAGGCGTTGAACTGGCGCAGGATGAAGCCGGTGGTGAACTCCCACAGGTAGGTCCAGAGCGTATAGATGAGGCAGCGCACCAGCAGCGGGCAGCGGCCCCGCAAACGCAGGTACATGCGCTCCACAATGAGGATGGACGTGCCGTAGATGAAGAGCGCCCAGACGCTCGTGACCCCGGGGAATTTCCAGTTGAAGTTCACCACGAACTCCCAGGCCGCGGTGAACATCACCTCACAGAAGTAGCCGTGGATGGCGTACAGGTACCAGCGGGACAGCGCCGTGAGGGGTTCAGCAGAAGCCATGGTGCCGGCGGGGACGCTGGGGGCACAAGGAAGACTGGTGAGGGGTGCGGGCCGTGGGGGCGGGCTCCTGCTGCCCCCCCACCCCCAGCCCAAGGTTCTGCTGTGCCCAGGCTGAAGGGTGGTTCCACTCTAGCGCTCCCTTTGTCTCCTTATTCCGTGCTCACTACTTTATGCCATGTTCCTTACCTGAGGGAGAGAGGGGACATGAGAAAGAAAAAGAACAGCCCATCCTTCCTCTGAGCAACTCTACCCAAATGCTACTTGAAGGAGGTGTTTCCTACACAACCTACAGTAACTTTTCTGGATTGTCTGAGGTTGATGAAAGAGTTGGCTGTTCCCACCCACCAGTCACCCCCACTAGCTCAACCACTAGCTGAGTTCTCGCCAGGCCCATCCAGCAGAGTCCCCTTCTCCAACAATGCCCCATCACTCATATTTCAGAGACAACCTATGGTGAAAGTTACCACTTGACCATTTCAAAATGCCATTCAGGGCCCTCCTTGGTGGCACAGCAGGTTAAAGCACAGCACTGAGAAGCTAAAGCCATTTCAGCATGAGTTTGATCCCTGCCTGCCCTGGAGGAGATCCACATGGCGTGGCAGACCTCTCCTGACCCGCCCGCTGCTCCCCTCAGCAATGTACTTCGTCGATTTGCCTGTTCTGCTCCCCACTCTGTCTCTGGTGAAGCCTCTCACCGTCCCTGAGCCTCTGGCCTGTACCCCAGTTCTGTATGCACAAATAAATACATCTTAAAAAAAAAATTACCGTTCAGTAGCACTCAGTAATCCACATTGCTGTGCAGCTAGAACTTGCTCATCTTCCGGCACCAAAACACCAGACCCATTAAATGCTCCCTCCTCATTCCCTCCTCTTTCCCATCAGCAAGTGGTAACCAGCCCTTCTACTTCTGTCTGTGACTCTGACAACTCTGGGTAACTTGCTTAAGTGGAACAAACAACTGTCCTTTTGTGACTGCCTTATTTCACTTTGCAAATGTCCTCAAAGTTCACCCACAGCGTAGCATGTGTCAGAACTTCCTTCACTCTTTAAAACGGAACCATATTCCACTGCAATCGATTTCCCTAGGCATACAGCATTTTGTTTATCCATTCATCCAGACACAGTGGCTTCCACTTTCTGACTATTATGAATACTGTTGCTATGAGCACAGGTGTACAACTATTTATTCAAGTCCCTGCTTTCAAATCTTTGGGGCATTTTCTCAAAATTGGAATTGCTGGGTCATATGGTAGTTCTCTTTTTATTTTTTGAGGAATGGCCTTGTTGTTTTGAACAGCATGTTCCACTGCAAATCTTGTCCCATTTCACTTTCCCATTAGTATCACACCAAGGCCATCCTAGCCAGCACTTGCTATTTTCTGCTCTTTTGATGATGGTCACTCTAATGGGTGTGAAGTGGTAACTCCTTATGGTCACATTGTCTTTAACTGCTACATTAAATGGGGTTTTAATGTTTAGTTTCAATATCAAGAGGAAACCAGTGGCTGACGAAGGACAGTTCTCCATTTGCTTCGTATTCTCTTCCTCTTCTCTGTTTTAAGGCCCACCAGGTTTCAAGGCCCAGAAGACTGACCTGGTGTACAGGCTCTCCACTCTCTGCTTGCCCTCCACCTGGAGGCTGTCTGGGACACAGCTCTGATCCTGTCTCCAGTGCCACCCTGATTACTATTCGGAGATACATCCTCTCTTGGTCCAACTGGCCTGAGTACTCCTTGAAGGCAGTGGTTGTTTTCCAGTCTCTACAGCCATGGCACCCCTAGGAGGGGTGGGTGAATTCAAGGGTTGTGTCAAGAATCAAAGGTCAGGTCAGGCATGGGAATATGAATTACGGTTCTGCCAGTGGCCAGTGGACACCAGGCCTGATATCTCTGTCAATCCCCTCTCCGAGTGGCAGAGGGCATAGAGGTTAAAATGGCATCTTCAATCTGTCTGCCTGTCTGGAAACCCCAAACACATATTCCAGCAAAAGCAGGCCTGGGCACAGTGATACCTACCTTTGTCATTGCCTTGTGGTCTTCTAAGCACCCTCGTTCACATTTTTGCATTTCTTTTACAGTGTAAAGGACAGGTGGTTTTACTCCCATTTTTATAAGACAGGTGGGGTTCAGAGAGGGAAAGTCACTTGCCTCACATCCCAGGGCAGGTGAGTGGAAGAACTGACACTAGAGTCCATATCTCTTGATTTCTACTTCTAATTCAAGATTTCTACTTATTCCACTGTACAGCAGTCAAAATAGATAAATTCATGTTATTTGCAGCAATATGGATGGAGCTGGAAGAGATCATGCTCAGTGAAATAAGCCAGAAGGGAAAAGAACAATAGCAATGGTTTCACTTACAGGATGAATACAGAGGAACCGAACAAGGTCAGAAAAAAAGACAAAGCTTGCAGGCAAAGTAAAGATCTGAGGTCTATAGCGGGGAGGGGCAGAGGGAGGGGAAAGAGTCAAAACAGGAGTGGAAAAAGCACAAGGAACTATGGTGATGGCACGTGGGCTGATGTAGTGGTGGAGGGTTTATGGGGATGGCACCTGAAGGGAGAAATTAAGTATTAAAGCACAGTGATCCACAGCCACTGCAGCACGAGTTCGATTCCTGGCCAGGGAGCTGACCCACATGGCGCAGCAGACCTCTCCTGGCCCGCCCGCTGCTCCCCTCAGCAGTGTACTTCGTTGATCTGCCTGTTCTGCTCCCCACTCTGTCTCTGGTGAAGCCTCTCACCCCCTGCACATCTGACTTGTACTCCAGTTCTTGTATGCATAAATGAATAAAGCATCAAAACAATGAACAATGAAAATTTAAAACAAAGTTTAATGTAAAAAATAACAGTTATCCTACTGTGTCCCACAGCCCATCTCCCAGACATGTGTGCTTAATATTACTCCCCTACTCAGAAATAGTCCAAGGCTCCCCATTTCCTTATGAAACACTACAGCACCCCTGCTGGTATTCAAGTCCTGCCTCCCTTTTCAGCCTGTTCTCACAGTCAGAGCGCCCTGTCTTTGCAGACTCTCTCTATTCCATTTCTTGAGCTTCTTCCCTCCCACCTCCACAAGTTCAAACCCAGCTTACAGGTTACTTTCCGAACAAAATCTTTGTCATCCTCCCACCACAGACCCTCTCTATCTCTTCTGAGTACACACAGCACTCCTTCTGTCTCTCCTGTGTACAGATGATGTTCTGTTTCATTATGTTGGTAACTCTCTGTCCCCAGCCAGACCTTTGTCCTGTGCTTTACACAGAGCTAACCCACTCCACTTAAATGACCCAGGGGCACTTCAAACTCCTTTCCTAAATCAAACTCATTATCTTTTCCCAAAAATTTGTTGTCCTCCTATGACCCCATCCTGATTTGTGGTACCTATATGCAACCAGAGAGCAGTCAGAGGCCCAGTGGCGTTCAAGCTCTCCCTGCTGCACCCCCAACCTAACATAAGCTCCCCAGAGTGAGAACCTTGTCTGGGTCAGCACTGAATTCCCGGTATCTACAAGAGGACCCAGGACCCCAGAAGCACTCATTACTAGAACGAAGACATTTTTTTAATTAATTAGTGATTGTGATATAACAAATCATACCAAACTCAGAAAGCTGTTCAACTCCCATTTGTTATGACAGCTCGTGTGTCTGTAGAGGCTGTGCTTGATCACGAGATATGGCCATATGATCACGCCATATGGGTTCTCCGTCCTCTGCTTAGCTCTGTGCCACTGGCCAGTGCTCCTGGCGAGGACAGAGATGCAGAAGCATGCCAGCCCAGCTGTGGGGACACTTTCAGGACTCTGGGTAAGTCACCCACTAGCATCTGACTAACCAAGCCAAGCCATAGAGCAAGCCAGCATGCCATTAACTCCTGTCCTTTCTACTCTTCAATCTCTTGAAAGCCCATTTCCTCCTTCTCATCCTCTTTCTGACTGTGGCTGCTCTGGCTCGAGACTTCCCAATCTCTCATCAGGATGACTCCAGTTATCTCCCTGCCTTGCCTTGCTCCTTTCCAAATGATGAGTGAACTCCCAGGTTCATAGGCACAAAAGAATGTGTAGAAAAGGCAATCTTTCTAAAAAGCAATCCCAAATTGATTGTTTAGTGACATCCTACTTAATGACCATTAGTGGATGGCCTTAGAAGTGAGGCCCCAGCCTGTAGGGATGGCTGGCAAAGCCCCTGGTGAGCCCCCTCTGCCCCAGAGCCTGGCCTCAGAAGTTTGCATTGCAGTTTTCCTGCCTGGGCTAACTACAGATCTGAGGCATACAGTAGGGCCTTGACCTAATGACCCCCCAGCACCCCCAATGGGAAGACTTTCGTGCACACCTCCAGCTTGTGGAGGCCCCGTCAGCATCCAGGTCACTTCTGTTGATGAGAACACGCAGCTTTGTCAATCTAAGGCCAGCCCTATTCACCACGAGACGAATGCTTGTCTACTACAGTGTGAAAAGGGAAAAATTAATATTCAAAACTGAATATTAACGATGTTGATTTTTGCAAAGGCAAAAATAATATAACCACTTTCCTCTCTGGATGATGACATCATGTGTGACTTTTATTTCCTTCTTTTTGCTTTTCTGTGTAGCCTAAAATTTTTTCTAGCAAGTGTGTATAATTTTTTTTAAAGATTTATGCATACAAGAACTGAGGTACAGGCCACAGGTGTGAGGGTGAGAGGATTCACCAGAGACAGAGTAGGGAGCAGAACAGGCAGATGGACTGAAATACAGGAGCAGTGGGCAAGTCAGGAGAGGTCTGCTGCGCCATGTGGGTCAGCTCCCTGGCCAGGAATCAAACTCATGCTGCAGCGATTGCTAATAGCTTCATAGTGTTTCACTTTAACCCGTTACACCACTAGGGAGGGCCCCGTATGTATAATTTTTATAAAAATAAAATTTTACCCTATAAATGTCTGTTGGGGCCCTCCCTGGTGGTGTAGCGGGTTAAAGCACAGCACTAAGAAGCTAAAGCCACTTCAGCATGATTCAATTCCCACCCATCCCAGAGGTGACCCACATGGCTTGGCACACCTCTCCCAGCCCACCCGCTGCTCCCCTCAGCTGTTATTTCATTGATTTGCATGTTCTGCTCCCCACTCTGTCTCTGGTGAATCCTCTCACCACCTCTGCACCTCTGGCCTGTACCCCAACTCTGTATACATAAATAAATCTTAAAAAAAAAATGCCTGTTGAACAGATATCCATTCATTCATTATCTTTGCAACTTGAATATAGATGGTGTTAAATAAATTTGCCAAACAAATGAACCTGAGAAGCCTGAAGTCATGTAAAATTAATGTAGTTCTTCCTGCCAGAGCCATCCCAAACAACAAACTAGACCCTCCTTCTGCTTGGATGGGGACACTATCTCCTAGCTGCCCGTTTGCATCCTGGCTCATCATCCCCACCTGACAGCATGTGACCTGCCCTGTCTGTGCTTCAGCTTCCTCATAGATAAAGTGAGAATAATGAGAGTAACTATGTCGGAGGGTTATTGTGAGGGTGGATGAGCTAACAGATAAACACTAAAATGCAAAATGTAAAAATACACAAGTGTGCAAGAGCTGTTATCTCTGGCACAGACCAGGCTCCTCTAGGGCTGACGCCACCTCCAACCCCAGGCAGGGTCCTCCTGACCATCCTTGGAGGCTGCCGGAGTCTTCCCTGCCAAGCAGGTCTCCGCCCAGAGCACAACCCATAGCCAGGAAACCCTGAAATAGCAATAACCTCACCTACAGCCCAGAGAACAAAAATTCAGCTGAGGAACTGCAAGGTGAACTCCAGCTTCCATGCAGCTGAAGGAAGCTCAGTGAAGGAAGTGGTCTCACCCAGTGCTCTGAGGGCCAGCCTGGAAAAGAAGGGTGGGATAAAGAAATCTGGCTTCCAGAAAGAAAAGAAAAATACCAGATGGCTTCACTCATAGCAGGAGCATAAAGGACCAGGGGGCGGGGCATGAGGGGGAGAATAATAATTACAAACAACTATATAGCAGAGACATTTTACGGTGGCGGAGTGGGGAATGGAGTCAAAAATGAGGGGGTGCGGGGGCAGAGTGCATGGGACTATGGAGATGGCATACGGGTGACTTGGTGATGGGAAGCCCACGGGAATTACACCTGACATGGAAAGAGGCACAAATGATGTAAAAATAAACTATTATAATAATTTTTAAAAATATATCTGGCTTCCTGGCACAGCTTCCCGTGCACCTGGGCCAAGACAGGGGAGAAGACAGAGGGATGGTGCCGCCAGCTGGGCAGCTCACCTTGGTGTAGGAGATGCTGCGATTACGCTTGGGTGGATTTTCCCCAGCCCACAGGAGCCCCCACTTACCCTTTGAGCTGGGCCAGGCTCCCCACTTCTGCTGTGCAGGACAGTCCCCAGTCCCCAGATCCCTGTCCTGGCCTCCCTGGCCTGGAGCCTTTTGCCCCAGACCCTTTCAGTACCTCCTTGCCCTGCCCTGGGCCGGGCCACAGGAAAGCCTGCATCAGAAGACCCGGCAGTTCATCGCTCCTTGGATGCAGGGCTCTTTGTCCTGCTGACGGGACACAACCATCCTGAGGACCGTGACAGAAGATTGGACAGCCCAAGAAGGCAAATCCAGGGTGGAGTAAATCCAGGCGGGCGTGGGTAAGACTGCAAGAAGGTTGGAGAGCAGTGGTGGTTTCACAAGCAGGATACGGGGCACAACACTCGAGTAAAGAGCTCTCACACGTGTGGATGAAAGCCCTGGGGTGTCCGCCAAGAGCCAGTACTCAAGGTGACTTGCCAGGGGAGGGCACTGTCCTCCAAAAGGACAGGTGACTAGGAGGGGAGGGCTACCTTTCAGAGTCCTGGTCCCTGGGAGTAGCTCACCAATGAAGCTAGTCCCCTGGGAGACCAGGGCAGAGGGGTAAAGGGAACACCACAAGAGGCTTAAGACACACTAGAGGCAAAACCAGATGGAACCATCGTTTTTTGGTTTTGCCAGAAACTCTGATCTCCTCCCAGGATGCTAAGTCATCACCGCACGATAACTAGGAATGTTTGTCCAGAGGAGCACCGTATTTGTAAATCAGGAGTTCCTGCCCATGCAGTTCAGTTGAGCAGGACTTCCTCTTTCACTACATTTATTGCCCACGTTTTATTCCGCAGTCAGGGCACTGTCACTGTAGGTCTATGCTCTAGAGAGATAGATGCGAAGCCCTTCCAGGAAGTTCCGAAGGCAAGACCGCACAGGGACAGGTTGAGAGACGCTGAGTTCTGTCCCCTGGCAGGCTCTGTGCTGGAGGTGAGTGGCGGCAATGAGAGTGGGCAGCTGCTCTTACATCTGGGCACAAGATGCAAGGTCTGACAGGCCCAGAGCTTCCGTGTGGTTATCAAGTTAGTGGGGGAAGAAACGTTGGGCTTGACTCAGGGCCAGAAGGGAAGCAAGTGAGGGAAACCCCTGTGGTCACTGGTTGACTCAGTTGCTATAGAGTCCTCCCTGTCTTGCCATGGGCAGTCCCCCAGAAAAACTCCCTGGGATCAGTTGATAGGGTGCTCCCTCCACCTCCCAAGTCAAATAGTAGTAACCAGGCACTGTTATGAGCAGCACTTTGCTTACATTCTCTATGATCATCCTCAGGCCTATTTTACAGGTGAGGAAATGGAGACAGAGAAAGGGGAAGTAACTAGATTAGTTCTTAAAGCTATGAACAGCAGAGCTGGGATTCCAACCTACCCAGCAAGTCTGGCTCTAGACGCCTCACTCCCAGTAAGCACACTGGGCTACCTCTTAAAGATTTTCTGCGGACACTGCCCTTTTCTGGGGTTCTGCTTCTGGAAGGCTGGAGTGTTTATGAAGAGGTTACCGGAAGCGAGAAGGACATGAGGTTCTGGGTGGATCTTCAGTGAAGCTCAGAGCTGGGTGTCAGATGCACTGAAGACTCTCAGCTTCTTTGGGAGACCACCTTCTGTTCCGGAACCACGTTCTGGCAGGATCCACATGACAGCCTCCTGTGGTCCATTTGACAGCCACCCCACAGGGCCTCAAGTCCTGGGCCATTCAAAGACCTCTCATGAGAACACTCACTACCAGAGCCTCCCTGACTGCCAGCCAGCCAGGGCTGCTGGGACTCTGACGCCCTGCTGTGGAAATGCCAGCCAAGAGCAGTGACAGCGAACAGGCTGCCCAGAGAGGCCTGGAGCATTAACAGTCAGTGTTAGGAGCAGCCATCCCACACAAGGTGGCAAGCAGGGGCATTTCTAAGGCCTTGGAGGCTAAACAAATCCCAGCTAGCAGGTGCAGTGGGGGCAGGTGAGATTGGGAAAGAGATTCATCCCTGCACATAGGTTCCCTGGGGCTCAGGCAGCAAAGGACACTGTGCAGGTGGGGGGGGGGGGGGGGGCGGCTGCAGGCTCGGCCTCCCGGACATTGCCGGGAAGGCTATTCTCAGACCTCACCTGGCCACCTCCCTGTCAGTGTCAGGTCTCAGCTCTTCCCTCAGGGGACTTCTCTGGGCTCCAATCTAAAATAGCCTTTCCCTCACACACAGCACCCCATTTTATTTTTCTCACAGCACTTTTACTTTCTGATATTTTGCTCCATGGGGTAAGTAGTGCCTGGAACAGTGCCTGACAATAAGGCCCATGAATATGTTGGAAAGAATGAACGCGTGAGCCTAACCAGGTACAGGCACTGTTGAAACAGCGCTAACACTATGAGACAGGTATAAACAGGTCTCCCGCTCAGCCTGTCTCCTCGCTTCTTTCTTGAAAAAGAGAATCTTTAAAAAATTTTTAATTCTAGCACTTCAAACTACCTTTATGCTTTTTTCCTGATTACAAAAGCAACATGTACTCACAAGTGATATTTTAAAAATACCTCAAAAATGACTTAGAATGCAAATGCCTTCCATCAAATACGCCACGTTTTAGATAAAGTCATTATCGATGGTGTATTGTGTATTCATTCAGATTAAATTTAGTTTTAAAAAATAATCTCTGCATCCTAGAAAGATAAGGCATTTACAGTACCTCTGTCATTCCCTTTGCAATCTTTTCTCCTGTATTTATTTTACAAATTATTATGATGCACTTACTCTGTAAACTGACACTTCTACAGAGAGACAATAATTTTTTTTAACTTGTGATCTCGTCTATTATTATAATGGCTGCCTAATATTTCACCAGGTGGGAAACTATAATTTACTTAACCCAGATGTTCATCAAAAAGAGAAAAACAGCGTCTCCTTTCCACTATTCCAATAATACCAAAGAAACATATTTTTTATGCCTGTAACTAAAGAATCCAGCCCTTTCCGTTGGGACTGTTTCCTGATGGAAGATTTCTTTTCTTTTCTTTATTATGAGCAAATTAGTTTATTTTTATTATTATTATTATATTAGTTTATTTTTTACATATTTTTGTGCATTTCAGAAGCGGGGCCACTGGATAGAGGGCAAATTATTAGTATTATGAGCAAATTAGTTTATTTTTATTATTATTATTATATTAGTTTATTTTTACATATTTTTGTGCATTTTCAGAAGCGGGACACTGGATAGAGGGCAGGACAGTTTCCAGGCTGGTGATGTGGATTACTCTGGGAAGGCTGCATCTGAGGGGAGAGTCCTCTTCTCTGAATCACCACCTTCCCTCAGCGGTGGGGCCATTTCTCCACCCCCACCCCACTCCCACACTCCAGGCTTGCTTACCTCACCCCAGATGCAAATCAACTCAAGACCACACTTCCTGAAAGATCCTCCAACAAACTAACTTTGCCCAGACTACAAGAAAAATAGATTCCAGCCTGAGTTTTCAACTTCCAACTAGCCACGGAATCAAGCTCTCTCTAAAGCTGAGCAATACCTGGTTCCACCGTGGACCAGCCCGGCCACTCTGGAAAGCTTGTCTGCTTGCCACACAGAAGCCCCAGTGCTCACTGCCCCACCTTCCAGAGGAGATCTGGGCCCACAGGTCCCTGACCCCACCACCGGTCTGCCTGTCCTGTGCGGACAGAGCAGTCTCCAGACCAGACTGGCCTCTTGGGCTTGGGAAAGCAGCCAATGGTCATTTTTCAAAAGTATCATCAAGGAAAAGGCAGAGGCTGAGGCTAGGCGGACCCCACAGCCAGGGTTTCCTCGGTCACACTGAGGACATACCGCTGAAATGTGCTAACAGCAGCAGAAGACTTGCTTCTCCTGCCCACCTGGTAGTCACTTTATGACCGTGAGGGCGCCACAGATCCCTCACCACTCAGTGCCCAAGGCCCCGTGAGCCGCCTGGACTGATGCCGGACTCCAGACGAGGTACAGTTCCCATTGTGCAGACATACAGCCCAGGGCCCACAGCTCCCACTGGCTGACAGCTAGAAAGAGTCTGGGACGTCGCCCTCACCTGGAGGCCTCACGTCAGTCATAGATGGAGGTCTGGCCAGGACTGTAGAGGCCATGTGGCTGTCAGGTGCCAGACGACATGGCACTGCTGGACGTTCCCTTCCCAGCCTCAGTCTGCCACCCTGTGATCAGCCCTGGGATGGGAAGCAGGCTCCAAGCTTGCTGGTGAGTCAGGCAGGGCCAGCGACCCCCCGGGAACCGGCAGCGTACTCACTTCTCACACCCTGAAGTGCAAGGCTCAGGACGCACATGAGGATCACTGCCTCCACACACCCCTGGCTCCCCTCTGTCCTGCTGCCTGGCTGGGCCTCCGTGCCATTCTCAGCAGTGTGGGCAAGGATCTGCCCCAGGGCTCAGTTGATCCTCGACGAGTGAGAAGGCGGCTTCCATGTGTCCCTAAAAATAAAAGAGGAGGTGTTCATTAGTTAAACTGCCCCCGGCTCCGAGACACCCCGCCAGCTGGAGAGGCAGACTCAAGCGAGCACGCCAGGGGCGCAAGCTCGGAGCTCAGCACCAGACACGCAGCCTGCCCTGGCCACTGGACGTCTCTCCCAGAACCTGCCGCCTCCCCTCTGCCATCCTGTCAGCTCAGGTCTGCTTAGTCCAGCTCTGAGACGCTCCCAGGCAGCTCATGAGTGGGGCTGGGACCGTGTGTGACGGTGTGCATACTTGTAAACCTGAGAGGGGATATAATTATAGAATTCAGCTCCATTCTCATTTAGCTTCAAATTACACTCTCACCTTCAACCAGTAGAGGGTACATCTGTTCTCAAGGGCATCGAGAACCTCATGGAAGGCCAACAATGTAGGGCATTTGCTTAGCATTTGGGGAGTCAGACACAACGACACAAGGAAAAACAAGCAGCCAACGAACTATGGGTTAAAACATTCTACCCACGGTTCAGCCACCCTAATATTCATTTTATTACTGTATCATCAAGAGTGTCGAAGCCCTTCCTCTTAGACCCATCACAGACCCAAGCTGATATAAATATCTTTAAAATGTCCTTTGCTGTCGTATATACTTTCAAGATTCCCCCTACAACCTGACCATTAGATGGGGAGTCCACATTTTTTGTTTTGATAGGAAGGGCCGAGGCGCTCCTGAACACCCTGTGGCTATAGCACCAGACAAGTCCAGGGTCAGTACTCTGCTCCAGCATGGCCCTGTGGAAGGAAGCTGGGGAGGCCTGTGGGTGGGGTGGGAGCTGGCACCATCCCCCCCCCAGATGCCCGAGCGCAAGCATGTGGGCCACAGAGGCACCACCTTCTGTGACGCCCACCTCCCCCAGCACCCCACACCCCACACCCCATGCCCCTCACACCACCCCTGCCTCCACCCATCCCGAGCAGGATGAAGCCCCTTTGCTGGTGTAAGGTGACAACCAGTGAGGCAGCAGGGGAGCCAAGATGTATAAGGGCAGGGTCTAGGGATCTAAAATTCATGTGGGCACACGTGCTTGTAGGGGGAGGGGGAGGCTCAGCACCCCCGGTCTGCCCTCAGAGGAGGAAGGTCAGAGGCTGTGAAGTGCTCCATCTTGCCTCTGCCCTCCCAGCACGTCCCCAAGCCGAGCCTGCAGCCCTGCAAGCCAGCCCCATGCCCCATCCTCCCGCTTCCCCCAGCCTGCCTGGTGGTGGGCAGCGGTCATCCTGGCACATACCTCTCACCTCCAGAAAAAGGGCTTCAGGAGGCATCTGACACCATCTTGTTTTGCACCCCCAGCTCCACCTTGACCCTGAGTTCAACCCCACCCACAGACACTTCCCCTTCCCTGGGCACTAAGCAGGCTATATCTATAGCACAAATCGAAACCTAAACAGAAACAGAAAAAAAAGCTCCTCCACATCCTGCCAGCTAGGCCTGCAGGGCGCTGCTGTCAGCCCGGGGAGCCCCTTGCCGACTGAGGTGTGAGCCCGGCAGAAGCAGCCCAGCGGGCCCAGGGCCAGCCTCACCCTGGACATGTCCCACTCCCCAGAGAGCTGGCAGAGGCTGGACTGGGAGGTGATGGTACAGCCGGGATCCCACCCTGCCTCCAAGAGCACAGCTTGTCCCCAGCCTCTCCAACGCTCCCTGGTCTCCCAGCAGGTGCCAGGAACAGAGGGCATGAGGCTCCTTTGTGACTGCAGGGCCTGCACTGGTAGTCAGAGCATGGGTGCCTGCAGGGAGCCCAGGGTAGCAGCTAGTGTGTCTGAGGATCAGAACGACATGCTGTCCCCATTTTACCATCTCTCAAGAGTCCCCTAAGAAGTATCCTATAGGGAGGACAGGAATGTATCACACACACATTTAGAGATGAAAACAAGTCTCAGGACATTAAGAGATTTGGCCAAATTCACACATTTGATTCAAACCTAGTTCCCTGGGCTCTGACGTGACCCTTGCCCCAAACAGCACGCCTGCGAACCGCTTCCCAGCTATGTTTCATTCTTAAGGCTGCTTGTCTGCATCCTGCACTCCATG